ACCCCTTCATTGTGATTTGATTTTAGTCATGAAGATCGCGTTTGCCTAATTCTGCCAAGCTTAGTAAATGTAGGGAATTGAGTGCACTTCATTTGTTTATAATCTAATTATTAGATTAGGGATTTTCGTTGAAAGCTATTATATTTGCATGATATTGATTTCCTATGTTATTTTGATGACTCAAAGCTCTTGATGTGCAACTTAGCCTAAACGAAAGTGACCGCTCTTATGTTTTAATTCATCATTTTATTTGCTAGTAGTTCTACTTATTGTTACTCTAATCAATAAGTTGTACAAGCTCTTATTAAAATCATTGCAAGCATTTTAGTCCTACATCATCTGGTATCATAGCATGGTTAGCTTAGGATTTTCATGCTAGAAATTATCCTAAGGTTTTATTTAATCATGCTTAGTTAATTCCGCATGCATAACTTCATTTTAATCATTTTAAATCATGATCATGTTTGCTGTCCAGAAAAATTCTGCACCCTTTTAGTGAGCTTTATACTTGTTTCTTAGGTATCAATTTGTGAAGACTTACTTGAAAGGTAAATGAAATATGAATCACCTCCTTGGGGTAGGACCAAAAGAAGAAGATCCTAATTTTTGGGCATGGGATGAAGCATACTCCATGATCATGTCATAGTTGTGGAATTCCATGACTAAAAAAATTAGTGATATTTTCATGTTCCTATTTACTGCAAAAAACACATGGGATGCTACCAGGCAAGCATTCTCAAAAGCTTGGGATGCTACACAAATCTTCAAAATTAAAATCAAAATGGGAAGCACAAAATAAGGAAGAAATACCGTGACTGAATATGCCACTCTCCTTCAAAGCTTGTGGCAAGAACTTGATCACTATAGATGCATAGAGACCAAGTGTCCAAAAGATGCTGCTATCTTAAAAAGCTTTATTGAGAAAGATAAAGTGTATCTTTCTTGCAAGATTAAATATGGAGTTTGATCAAATTAGAGTTTAGATCCTTAACAAAGAGGAGACACCCTCACTAAATGAGAACATTTCTCTCATTCGTGCTGAGGAAAACATAAGAGGCGTAATGCTATTACCACAGGTTGTTGAAGTTTCAGTAATGGTGATAGCCAAAGAGGCGTCATGGAAGGAAAGAGGAAAGGATTCCTCAAAACTTCAAGATAAACTCCATTTGGTGTAGTTATTGCAAGAAATCAAGACACGCAAAAGAGACATGCTGGAAGTTACATGGAAAACCTCCAAGGAGTGAAATAAAAAAACAAATAGACAAAATGGAACATCACAAGCTAACACTACAACAAGTCACCCAAACCAGAAACACAGTCCAATCTCAGAGAGATCAACAAAAAAGATATTGATAAGCTAAAACAACTCTTGGTTTTCCTTGAAAAATCACCCGCATCTTCTTATCTTGTACTTTATGGTAAATTTTCTATATTCATTGGATTAAATGCCTCTAGAAATCATTTGAAAGGAGTATGGATCATTAGCTCAGAAGCCACTGATCACATGACACACTCCACTGCCCACTTCATCAACTACACTCCTTGCCCGAGTGATAAGAAAATCATCACTGTTGATGGTTCTCACACCACCATAGCATGCCAAGGAGTCATACCCTTCTCTCCCTCCCTCATTCTAAAAAATGTGCTCAATGTATCTCAATTATCCACAAACCTAATCTCCATACAAAAACTTACTAGTGATCATAATTATCAAGTCCTATTTAACCATACTTGTTGCTTATTTTAGGATCAGGAATCGGGGAAGAAGATTGAACTTGCTAAAGAGAGAGATGGAGTGATGGACTGTACTACCTGGAAGAGCTGAGCAAATCTACTATTATCAATAATGTCTATTCCATGTTATCCTTATTTAATAAAAAATATACTATTTGACTCATCATTTTAGATTAGGAAATCCATCTTTTGATGTATTAAAAAATATGTACGAAAATTTTTTTTATAAGTTGGAATTTCATTGTGAAATTTGTGAGTTAGCCATGCATAAACGAATTTTTTTTCAAACAAAACTGAGAGATGTCGTGCCCTTTCTATCTTATTCATAGTGATATCTGGGAATCCTAAAAAATTCCTAATATCTTAGGAGCCTGATGGCTTGTATCATTCATTGATGACTGCACTCGAGTCTCTTGGATTTTTCTCCTAAAAAATAAGTTCGATGTGAGCACTATCCTCCCTATTTTTCACACCATGATCCTGAGTCAATTCGGGGTAAAAATAATAAAACTTCATTACGACAATTCAAAAGATTACTTTAACCAAACTCTATCCTCCTACTTTCAAAAGAAATGTATTCTTCATGAGTTTTTCTACATTCATGAATTTTTCTACATTCATACTCCACAACAAAACGGAGTTGCAGAATTAAAAATGGCAACCATCTTGCTTTCACCCGTGCACTTCTATTCCACCATAATGTACCCAAATCCTATTAGGGGGAAGCCCTTCTAATCGTCACATATCTCATAAACCGACTACCTTTAACAATCTTGGGACTAAAAGTAACAATGAATATTCTATCATTTTTTACCCTAAATTTTGAACCCATAAAAACCTCACACCCAAAATCTTTGGGTGCACTAACAATGTTCACATTTATAATCAAAATAGATAAAAATTAGATCCAAGAGCACTCAAATATATCTTTGTTGGATATTTATCCACCTAGAAAGGTTATAAGTGTTATCATCCCTCTATCAAGAAAACCCTTGTATTTGTTGACGTTATTTTTGATGAACAACAATCTTATTTTACCAAATGTCATGTTCAATGGGAGATCGAAACTGAGGAAGATGAGGAAAGCAAGCTTACCCCGCTTGACCTTTCAGCTCCACCTCAAACCAATCCACCTAAACTTGAAATCAAAGCCAAGGAATCTGAGGACAAAATTATTATGGATAATAGTAGGTTTGGGAAAGTGTATTCTTGGCATACAAATCCAAATTATGTTCTAATGCAGATCTAAGAATTTGAATCGTCTCTTAAAATTAGGATAAATACAAGTTCACAAAAAAAACCTCCCTTGTACCCCATAACTAACTTTATATCCTTTCATAACTTCTTATCTTCACACAATTTTTTTAATTACACTAAATCATTTTTATATTCCTAATGATATTTCTGAAGCCTTATTTAATGAAAATTGATAAAGTGTCATGAAAGATGAAGTACAGGCCTTAAAAAGAACAATACATGGGAGATCATCGACCTACCAGTAGGGAAAAAATTAGTTGGCTGCAAATGAGTGTTCTTTGTGAAATATAAAGTTGATGGTACACTGGAAATGTATAAGGTAAGACTTGTGGCGAAAGAGTACACTTAGACATATGACATTGAATACCAGGAAACTTTTGCGCATGTGGTCAAGATGAACACCTTGATGATCATGCTCTCACTAGAAGTTAATTATAACTGGCATCTGGAATAGCTGGATGTCAAAAATGCATTCCTACACGGGGACTTGAAGGAAGAAATATTAATGGAAATTCCACCAGGATTCAAGGAGTAATCTAGGGGATAAATCCTAAATTACATACGAGCAAGGAGTAATTTGAATTATCAATTTTAGATTCTTAAAATAAAAAAAATTCACAACGATTGTATAAATAAACTTTTGGGCCTTTCAATGGATATAAGCCCCATTCTAATTGCATACGAGTAACTCCTAAAGGGAGCAATAAGCCCCATCTTCAAATAAATTAATGGATAACTCCTAAAGCGAGCAATAAGCCCCATTCTCAAACAAATTAATTGGTAACTATTAAAGGGAGTAATATGCCCTATCCTCAAACAAATTAATGAGCAACTCCTAAAGGGAGCAATAAGCCCCACCCTCAAGTAGACAAATAGGTAATTCCTAAATGGATTAATAAGTTTCATTCTAAACAAAATATTCAGGCCTTCTAATAGACATAAGCCTCGAAATCAAATCATAATACGCCAAAGTCTACACTCAACCACCTTGGTCTATTTGGGCTCTCTAAGAGGGGACGACTCATGATTATTAATTAGATTTCTTGGATTTCATGGCCTACTGTTCGCTAATGTTGGTAGATTGAGATCATTTCTCTTCTTGGGATGATGGAACCATGGGATCTTGATCGGGTCTACCTTCAACCTCCTATAAACATCTACCATAAATCAAAACAAATCTCAAGTACTAAGCTTAAATTCAAATTCATATCAGAGTAATTCATAAAGGTGGAACCCTAACCCAAAAGGTGGGGTTCAAGCCTCATTTTTCCTGAGCGAACACTCACACTTGTGAAATTTCCCGTCATTTGCATGTCTTAATTTATTTTTCTTCTCACTCGTGGGTAAAATTTTTCGGCTTTTTCTCATGCACCGAATTTGGTGGAGGGTCCTCCTTGGATATTTTTGATGTCCTAGACAAATTGGCATATTTTGTTTTGTGAGACAAGTGATAGTTTAATTTCTTTTATTGTGGTTGAGACGAGTTTGCCGTTAACATTGCATTTGACAGGATTGAACTGTGAGGCAGGTATCGAGGCCAACATTGTATCACTTTATCTTCTTCTAATAACATTGATTAATGATCACTAATGCCATACTCCCTACAATTGAATATGATATGTTAGTTTTTTTTTCTATTAATGCTATGCCGTCTATATTGTAAACATTATAATGTGAATTTTGATCTCTTGTTTAAATTGATATATATCTTGTTTTCGCTGTAATTCATCTAAATACAGGTAATCCTCCTAAGTACAAATTTATTGCTACTAACCTTTTAAGAGAAAAAAAGACATGCATTGTGATTTCATCCACTTCCTAAAGGTTTGTCGCAATGCGGAACAATTATGCTAACCACTCACATCCATTGCACCCCCACCCATTATTCAACTTGTTACACGTGGGGACAGGCCACAAAACTATCCTAGTAGCATCTAGCCTAGTAGCAAAAGAGCCTATTATAGGCCCATGCCACTAAAATTGAGTAACTTGTTACTTTTTCCATGCAGATGAACATGATGATCATTTGCTTGTTGATGGTTTAACTGTCAAGAAGGTATGTTTTTATTCTCATCAGCCGGGAATCCGTCTTGACCTAAATCACCATATTATACAAGTCTGCGTCCTCTAATTTTGATGTTTTGTCCAGTTTGTGTGCTTTTATTCCTTCTTTTTCTATGCTTGCACGTTTTTTTTCCACACTTTTTTCTAGTTCTTCTGCTCATCATCATCATCATCATCATCATCAAACTTCCATCTTAATCTTCAGTTTTTGCCCCTTGTACTAAATTACTTGTTTGTATTTATTATGAGCAGAGAGAAAGTGCAGTAGATGGAAATATGGAGTCGCTAGCTATTGTTTCCAAAAGTGAATCAAAGCTTCTTATTGAGCAGTTGCTTATGCAGGAAACCTTTACGAGGTAGCTGATAACCAATATATTATGTATTTGTTTTTTGAGTATTTTCTCTATTTAAATATTCTTCTTTTCTATTTTAAAATTTTCATTTTGCCAAACTTCAGTGCTTCGCCCCATACAATACTTTGTGCTCATCAGTATGTGCACACCATATGTTTTTTTGACTTGCAACTTTCTTAGGGATGCACAGATCAGAACCTTCATTGAAGTATCTCAATTTTTATCAAACTTGTTATTCACTTACCAGTTCTCTTGCATTATTTATGGAACATGTTAATTTCTATGATGGACAACAGCATCACATTGTGGTTCTAATTTTCTTATTAGTTAATGCTATTTCTGATGAGAAGAATAGATGAATGTATATGTGAAATTCATCTTCTTTCCTTATAGTCCGACTGACTGTTTTGATGATCGCTCTATTTTATGTACACCTATTAAGCTTAACAATTGTTTTGCAGGCAAATTGTTAGATGCTTTTTCTTAGAATATGAGCAGTATTAAATAACATGTTTTTAAAACTAGTATGCATGAATATTTAGTATATAATAAATGCAAAAATGATCATTTTACTCCTAGTTTCATGGGAATTTATTTTGCTTGAACCTGATTACACTCTTCAATATTTTCTAACCAGAGCTGAGTACAGTAAACTTTTGGGGATTCTTCAATCACGGGTACTTGACATCCCATCTGCTGAAGGTGGCGAGGGTACTCAGAATGAGGTTCCTAAAAGGGTTTCTGACAAAAGGCCATGGCAGCCTTTGAACCAGAACAGGAATATATCTACAACCCCCAATTTTTCTCCCGGTAATATATCTATCTTTTCACCTAGATATTATGCAAGTGAAGCAGTTTCTCCTGATCTTCGCAACAAAGCTGTCATGGAAGCAAAGAAATGGTTTGAAGAGAAAAGGTTGTCAGCTAGTCCTGTATGTGATCCAGAATGTGGACCTTGCATCTTAAACACTGATATGAATCAACATGTTAGTGCTTTCATTTCTTCCCTAGCTTGTTTTTTATTTTTACAATGTCTCCCGTTGTTCTTCTGCGGATAGTGTAAGCATCTTCAAAATCATATTGCTTCATGTTATAGTTTCATGAGCTTTATTAATGCTAGTAGATTATTTTAACATTTTTGGTGTTGTAATATTCTTGAAGGAACGCTTGTCTTTGAATCTGATAGCTACTTGTGTTGGCCTTTTGCATGGAAAATTTTTCTTTTTGATCCAAATTCTTTCCGTGTTTATTTTGGTAGCCTGCAAAGAAGCAACATTTCCCTTCACCACCAACAAACAATAAAAATTACTCATTTATTCCTGAGCTTCCTTGAAGTCGTAGTTCTTTTTTGTGTGATGCTGTCTTCTAAAACTAGTTATCACACAGCTGTAATGCTTTATTTATTAAATCTCTTGTTGGAGCTTCATGTTGCAGGTCACATGTTCAACACCAATGAGCTCTAGTTGCGGTGATATGCTCCATGATTCGCAGGGCAATGGTCTTATGTTCAACTTTTGGCCATGCGCCTGCTTTTGCTGAATCTATATTTCCTGGTTTTGTGTGTGCGTGATAGGAAACCCTTGTAGATCTCAAGTATTTCCTATCAATCTTCTGAAAACAGCGAGCTTTCTCTACCAAAATCTGCACAAAATCATAAAAAACAGTAGATAATTTGTATTTTTTTGATGAAAGGGAAACGGAAAATAACATGATACAATTGATCCTCTATTTGAGAGGAGGATCAATCTCTCCGAAATCCCTAGACACTGCTAGAGCCCAAAGAAAACCTAAATCTAAGAGATCTCAAATTTCAGCCAAATTGAAGATGCCCTAACCCTAGGAAAACAAAGTATTTAATGCATACAAATCAAAAGGAAATCCCAAAACAGTCCCTACATACAAATTTCCCTCTTAATTCCCCCAAAAAACTTTCCTATCCGGCTCCCGCAACGCTTGCGGCTCGCGCGGCATCCGCAGGAGGCGAAACCTGTAAGCCGGCCCTGCCTGGACCGGTCAAGCGGACCGATCCATGAATTGTGTGGTCTCCGTAAATCTGCATATGCCCTTATGCTCAACTTTCTATAATAATAATAATAATAATAATAAACATTTTCTAACGATATATGTGGTGTGCTTCAAAGATTATATCAAATGAGTGAAGCCGGCCCTGCCTGGACCGGTCTAACAGTGAGATCCATGAATTGTGTGGTCTCCGTAAATCTGCATATGCCCTTATGCTCAACTTTCTATAATAATAATAATAATAATAATAAACATTTTCTAACGATATATGTGGTGTGCTTCAAAGATTATATCAAATGAGTGCTTTTAGGGAAGGCAAGGCTTTCACAGTCTGCTGCTGCCTTCTGTACTTCTTATAACATGTTTTTGAAATGTTGTTCGGTTTAACTGTCAAATATGGATTTTCTGTATGCCATCAAGCGAACCTTTTATTTATTTGGTTTAAATGATTTCTTCAGTATTCTGATGGTGATGATGGCTCACCAATTGAGATGGCTAAGGCATACATGCAATCCTTGCCACCATGGAGGTCTCCATCCTTCAGCACCGTGGGTTTAAAAAATCCACCTTCAAGTGGGAAGCTGTCTTGCAGTGTTGATACTCATTTGTTACGGCCTTCAAAGGTACGGATTACTCTACTAAAAGAAACAGGATTTAGGGAAAACATTTCTGCTTGTGCTATTGCACAATTTATGTTAATATGGAAGTACCAACTTATCTAATTTTTCTAATGGGTTTATGAGGGGAAATTTTTTTAAAAAGTGCCAAACGCAATGATTTGATTGTAATAATGTTTTTAATTCAATGGGAAAAATTGTTGTAGCATAGTTAAAAATAAAATGAATCTATGGTACTCAGATTAGTCTGGCTCTCATCTCTGATGCAAAAAAATAAAAAATGGTGAAGGTTCTACGGCATATTAGCTATCAGAATCTATAATACGAACTTATTGTTATCTGCTTTCCCAATAACATATTTCAAACCTTTAATTAAGAAATTAAGAGCATATTATAACACAGCTTAGTAATTACAATCATTGCTGCTTCCTTACATTTGTTTGCTTATATAATCTTTGTGCAGGTTAAAAAAAGGAATTATGTTTCAATTTCATCTCGGGACTCAAAAGAGAATTCCAAAGTTTCTCTGAAATCAGTAGATAATGAACAAAGGTCTTCTAAGTTTAGGAAAGCAGGATCAATCACAAGGCCTTCTAGAGCCTCATCAGCAACTACAAACTTTGGCTATAGAGTTGAAGGTACTAGCTCTATTGTTTTTTTCTAATAATTTTTTGTATACAATCTGATTGCAGTTGCGTTTGTGGAGACTTTTTTTCAGATGAACATCTTAAATTGCCTGATAGAAAAACTGTTGAGGTTGGTCACCAGATGGAAATGCATAAGGAGATTTCTCCAGGCATCATTATGGACTCCCGAGAGGCCTCTAAAGAAGCAGAGGGGGTACCCAAGGTTGCTTCAGTTGATGTTAATGAACATTTTAATTCTGATGCTGATATGCCCATGTAAATATAAAAATCAGGCAAATCAGATTGGGAAACATGTTGTTTACACTTTTTATTTCACATTGAATGAATTGTTGTTTCTGGTCATTTTTGTGCTGTTCAAGATAGTATTGTATCAGTTATTAAATGACACTAACATAGTTTATCTAAAAAGGATGTGGATGCTACTTATGTAACCGAGGCACAGATTGGAAGCATTTCTGCTCCTCAGGATTCTCTTGTGTTTGTTTCAACAGCTCTAGAGAATGGTGAATCAGAACCCAATAGAACATCATATATTTTATTTGTAGTTTTTAATTTCCTTTAGCAATCATTATTCTATCATCATCTATTTTTTTTCTTTTCGATTAAAATTGATTTTTACTTATTTCAGGAGATTCTTTTCCTGAAACTGAAACATTGCAGCCTGACAACGTAGTCCCAGCAGAGTCGAGGTACTCCGTTTTCACATTTTGATAGCCATATCATGGGATGCAGTATATTTTCATCTTCACTTATTTGAAAAACTTAAACAAAGTTTCATTTAAGTATGCCAGTAGTTATTTAGTATGTTTATGCCACGATAATTGATGGGGTACAACTTAAGATTGAATTGTGTGTCAAAGGTATATTGACGTTGTTAAATATATTTATGATAGAATACTGGGCCACTGGCTAATATTTGATCAATTGCTTATGTTATTTCTACGAACTTTTGATGGATTGTGCTTGGGAAATATAATTTGTAATCTTCTCATCTGATTATTAATGCTGGTTATGTCAACTCATCGCTAATGTTTATTGTTTCAGCGTACAGAAAAGCTACAGTGAAGTGAAATTCCAAGCTGAAAATGCCATAGAAGTGAAACCAGATTCTGATTTCAAACATGCACATGCGTGTACTGGTATACAGAAAAATCCCCTGGTTCATTTAATTTGTCCATGCTTCAAAGTTTAATATTTTGTGACATTTTTTTATCTGATGTTATAATCAATTTTTTAAAAAATTTCAGCTGATTCCTAGTTTAGAGCTTTTTCAAATGATGTTTAAAATGGTTTTCTAAAGATCTTGTGTATAAGCAACTTATTACGTATGTTCATACCCTAAACATCCGATAATTTCCTTCCTTTTACCCGAGACAAGTCTTGACAAATATAGCCCGGGAAATGCCAGTATATTTTGTTTACAAGCTAATGTGAAGGATGGGGTTTCTGAATACACAGAAGTTGACAACTGTCCTTATCTATAGAAATCACTAGCTCAGTTTTTTTTTTGCCTGTCCCATAAACAAACTGAGCTTTTTGAGGAAGAATGTGTAGAACAAAACCTATTGAGGCTTCATTTGGGGCGGCTTTCTTACTGCTTCTTAAAGCAGCTTTTTAGTACAAAAGTTTAAATTTTTGTACTAAAAAGCTGTTTTAAAAAACATTAAGAAAGCCGTCGTAAATGAAGCCTAAGTGGAATTGCAATGGTTTGGAGAAGGGGAGTTACCTTAACCGTGTGCTTGGAGAATGGGAGTGGGATGGGTACAGAGAAAGCTAGGGTAAGCAGAGTGAAAATATTAAAGGTTATGGTTGAATCACCCTAAACCCTAAATCCTAAACCCTAAACCCAATGGTTATTTACAGAATCAGAGCCACCGGATGAAAACCCTCTTATCCCGAAAGATGCAGTTAGACCAGCAGAAAAATCCCACATCAATGGGTAAATTTCATTCATTTCTTAATTCCAATTGCCACATTTATAAGATTTGCATCTAAAGATGAATATCAATGTACCACAGGCATTTCACAGAAATCAATAACTTGAATTCTGACCTCAAATCAACGAGCAATGGTGGTTGTGAAGTTGCTGTGGAGACTCATAAACCACCAAATAATGTTACCGAGCCCGCGGAGTTCGGCAGAGGCAAGCGTAGGGTGAAAAAGGCTGTCAGGCAAAAGAGATGGAAGGCTTGAAACCCTACTAATGTGTTTCTATTAACCAGTTTGTGAAAGGAACTACTAAGCCAGTGGATAAATAGGCTACTGGGTGTAAAGTTTTTTGAATTTATATTAGGAATCTTGGAAGAAATATTGAGGTTAATTTCAGAATATGTAGGAATTAGCTTTAGTTATAAGTTAGAATTTATAACCCCTCAGCTCCTTAATGCCTTGGCTTGAGAATCGTGCTTATTTTATGCTACCAAAATTTGATATTGATGAAATTTAATTATGATATTATGATAATATTTTTTGAGGTTTACTTCTATGGATTTACGATTATATTCAAAATTAAATTTACCAAAATTCAGCCCCCATCCCCAACAACAAAATAAAGGTTCACATCAATGTGATATGTGACAAGTTTAATTTTTTTTTTTAATTTAATACTCTATTGGTCAAGTTCTAGTTAACAATTATTTGAAGAATAATGCTTGCGTGCAGTAGCTGCTATCCTTTTGATAAGCTTGACCTAAATTTGAAGGCAATTTTAACTTTTTCTTAGAGAGAGAGAGAGAGTCATATTTAAAAAAAGCCTCTCTCTCTCTCTCTCTCTCTCTCTCTCTCTCTCTCTCTCTATATATATATATATATATATATATATATTTCAAATGGACAAATGTCTAATAATCAACAAGAAAGAGAATCATAGGCAACATACATATTCAACATCACAAGTTACCTCACCTCTCTCATCATATTCTTCTCCTCATTATCATCAAACATCAAACAATGTGGCTTTATTTCATGACACATCCATCCTTAGGCGAATGCTCTACATCTACTTCAACCTTCTTTTTCAAAACATTCAGATACATTTGAAAATCACCCACCAAAACTTTTGACATTCAAGATCAATGAACTTCCATTAAAACCACCATGTTTAACAGCCTCTCCGTTAACATTAAGGCTTCGTTTAGGACGACTTTTTGTTGCTTTTTAAATTAATTTTCTAGTATAAGAATTTTAATTTTTGTACTAAAAAACTGCTTTAAGAAGCAACAAAAAATCCGTCCCAAACAAAGTCTAAAGTTTGCCTTAGGCTTTGTTTGAGGCAGCTTTATTGCTAATTTATTTTTCAGAATACAACAACAGTTTATATTTGGCTACTGCTTTTTCGTTAGTTTAAAAACAAAAATTTGTGCTGAGAAGCTGCTTTCAAAAAAATTATTTTCTCCGTAACAATTTGCAACTATTCCTTAAATTGCCTTTCCAAGCTGACTAACCTGTAGTTTTCATATTCAGAAACTTCCTTATTCAGATCGTTTTTGAATGGCAGTGAAATTTCCTTCCTAACATCAGAAAGAAATAGGTAGTTGTTCAAACATTTGCATATGTTGTTATTCAAAGATGGCCAACTTTCGTCCAAAGCCACCTATTTTCACTGAAAGATAGAAAGGATTTTCAACAGAACAACGAAAAAAAATACAAGTTAGAAACATTAGGTTTCCTTACTCAACCGTTAGCATAGACTTTCTAAGGAACATTTTTTCAAAAGCAAGCAATCATTTAACTAAACCTCGACCACCTTGTTAGTATGGAATTAGCGAGGTTTAGTGATTAATTAGTTAATTAGAACACTAATCATGAATTATATAAAGGTCAATTAATTAAATTAAACAAATCTTTGTAGATTTTTTTTGGGATGATTGCAACTGTTTGTAAATTTAATTGTGAATTAAAAAAAAATTATGTGAACATTATAGGTCAATTTATAAAAAGGAGCAAGAGCAGATTATAGAACAAATACGGAACTTAATTATCCGGTTTCAAACGAAACCGGAACTTCATTAACCGGTTTCTAATTTACTAAAATTTGAGAAGAAACCGGAATATAAAATCACAGTTGGAATTTATTAATCTGGTTTCCTAAAAAACCTATTTAGATTATATTGTTTTTCTTTATTGCGTTATTTAATTAGATAATCTAAATGAACAAAAAGTAATCAGTAATTACAAGTAAACTTTTTAGGTAAAAATTATGATGTTTTTACATATTTAATATTTCAATCTTTTTAATATTTAAGCATATTAGTATATTTTGAAATTGAATTTAATTTTTCATTAAATATTTAAAAAAATTCTCTAAGTTGAAAGTCAATTATTAATATAATGTATTAAAAAGTTTATATTCAATATATCATCATAAAATTAAATCGGAGATCATCTGAACTCCGATTTTAGCAAATTTATAGTCGAATTAAAAGTATCGAAAATACGAACTCAACAACACCAAATTCGACTCAATCCGAGCCCAAATGAGTCCAAACCAAAGACTCGATGCACATTTGGAAGGTTCAAACCATAATTTGGACTACAAAACGGTTTTCAAACTTGACATGCTTATAGTCGAATCGAGCGGCTCGACGAGACAAATTCAACTAGCCCAAGATCCTTGAATTCTGATATCATTAAGACATTCAAATGAATTTATTATAATTAAAATGTTTATATTTATATTTATATTAATATTAAAATGTTTATTCTAATAATATAATTTAAAAATTTTAAATATAATTTTTTCTTAACCAAAATTTAATATTATAAATTTTAAATTATTATTTAAGAAAAATTAATATAAAGTTTAAAAAGATTATAAACATTTTAAAAATAATTTTAAGAGATTATAATCTAAAATGTTTTTAATATAATTTTTTATAAAAGATTTTAAACATATTAATTATATTAAAAGTTATTAAATATTAACATTTTTATCTTAAATAATTGATAATCTAAAAATAATATTTAATATAAATATAACATTTAAAAAGTATTTTATATAAAGACATTGGACTTAATTATTCATTATTATTATAAAATAACTGTCATTTGTACCTTGAATGCAAGCAAGAGCAACATTTTAGCATACTTACTTACTAATTTGTATTCATTTCGTTACGCGTTAGAAAATTTATAATGATAAAATGAGAGTTTTATGTCCTAATTTAACATAAAGATTTTGCATACGCACGTATACAAGAAAATAACACATTATACACTATTGTTTTTATGTGCAGAACTCAGAAAGAAAAAATCATTAGGTCTCATCGAGTTGAAATTATCCATAATGTTATAGTAGTTTGTTTTTCCCCTCGTCTTGTGAAGGCATGATTACAGAATATACAATATAAGCTTGACTTCATATGATTGTGATGGAGAAAACTAAAGATGCAACAGAGAACAAACAATGTTAATAAGGTGACTATAGTTGGATGATAATAATTTGATGACGATACATGAACTATGACATTCAAGTGATGGTAGTATAACAATGGTGAATGTGCAGTGATAATACGATGACGGTGGTCCAATGATGAGAGATGTACATCAATAGTAATTGATGGTGATCGTTGATATCAAACTCCAAGCATAACTCTAAAGTATTTCATATCTCCTAGCACTCTTATCTTAATTTCAAGCTCCCTTCAAGACCCCCTCTTCCTATATGAAAGGGGGGCATACATTTTGGCTGGAGATTGGAGAGAGCTCTGAGGCTTCGAGGATCCTACAATTTTACCCCAACACCACCGTCGGCGAACTTCCACTGACCAACACTGAACCACTGCCTGACCGCTGACTGTCATCAGATCACCGCCCATCCGCCGACCATCATAAAACCATCGCCATGCTGCCCACTACCGTCGGACCACTACCCTGTCATTCACTGTGGCTGGACCACAACCCGTCTGCCGATTTATGATGTACTTCCATCCGACCATTGTCGAACCACCACTTAGTCATCGACCACTGCCAGACATCCTCCTAGCTATCTTTAACATGCAGTCCGACCACCTTTGTCCGCCGACTACGATCCTTTTGACCATTGTAACCCATTGACAATGATCCCCTGACCTTTGTTGTCCTCTGACTATGATCGCTTCGACCGCCATCAACTATCGACTATGGTCCATCCGACCACCGTCGCTTTCCAACTACGATCTCTTTGGTCATCATTGCTAGCCGACTACGGCCCCTCCGACCACCGTCGCCTACCTACTATGGTCCCTCTGACTATCACAACCATTGAATACATTCCCTCCAACCACAATCGTCCATCGACTACGGTCCCTCCAGCCCTCATTACCTGTTGACTATAGTCCCTCCGACCACTGTCTCCAGACACTACGATTCCTCCATCCTCTATCTCCTACCAATTACAGTCCTTCCATCCACTGTCTCCAGCCGACAACGGTCCCTCTGATGTTCGTCGTATGTTGAATACGGTCCCTCCGACCATCATTGCACACCAACCACGGTTCATCTACGATCCCACTGACCATCATTGCCTATCGACTATGTTCCCTCCGGTTTCAATCGTTCGCCGACTATGGTCCTTCCGACCTCCGTTACCCATTGACTACGGTGCCTCTGACCACCATTGTCCGCCGACTACGTTCCCTTTGACCTCCATCGCCCATCAAATATGATCCTTCTGACCTCCATTATACGATGACTACGACCCCTTCGACCACCGTCGCCAGTCGATTATGGTCCCTCTAACCACCATTGCATGCCGACTACGGTCTTTTCGACCTCCGTCACTCATCAACTACGATTCTTTTAACCTCCGTCGCTCATCGACTACAGTCCCTTCGACCACTGTTGTCCTCTTGGCCAAAAGAACAGGCTAACACTCTTATGAGAATAGCTCTCATGTCACAGAATTCATCCAACTTCAACTATGTAGTGTGATTTATATGATAAATATTTATTACAAGGAGCCAACATCTTCTCCCAAGGAAGGGCGTCACGTGTAATCAACTGCAAATACTAATGTATTCTTTTCAACTGAGCAAGGCCCTGTGATTTTCCCATTTTTCAGGGGTTTCCATGTAAAAACTCTGATGTCACTTTTGAATATTGGATCTCCCTCTCTTATTTATGTGTGTGCTGGATCTTTGTACAAATCTTGGTCGCTAAACTCTATATCTCTCAACCACCTCAATTGTTCCCGTCCTAAACAAGTATCATCTGGCTAGTATGAAGCTTTCTGATGTTATCACCTACCATCACAAATAATATCAATCCAGACCGCTACTTATAAAATCGATGCACCTTGTCACCCTCAACTTTGACTTCCAACTTTAGCACTTGGATTTATACTAGATTTCCATCACGGAGCTCTTTCAACTTCAACCAAGTAATACACACTTTATAATATATGAATGTCTTATCAGAAGAAAAGACATCATATTCTAACTAATAACAAATAACATTAGAATCATTTTAACTGATTCATGCCTCATAATTATTTTCTTTCCATGATTTTCTATACGAAAATTTCGATCTCTTATAATTCTTGCACTTATCTCTTATTTTAGTATATGTGGAATCTTCATGTAACGCTAAGACGTTAAACCCGATATCTCTTTATCACAACAAATATTTTGGCACACAACATAAATAAATCCCCAATAATATATTGCTAGGTTTTTTCCATACACATATGAACATATTATTTAAAAAACCCAAAATTAAAGCTTCCATTCGTCGGGCATTCGCGGGCTGTTTCTAGTGTCGACTGGGCCCATCTATTACCCAGCCGGCCCAATACCAGCTTCCATCCAGGAAGTCCGCAACTCCGCATACAAGTATACGATGCTCTCCTGCCCAATAAAACTTAACGCGATCCCTATCGTCTACGCCCGAAGTCGCATGCGAGCGGTTCGAATCCGTGGACCGTGAAGCCTCTCTCTTTCGCGGCGACTCTCCATCGCGGTTTACTGTAACTACAGTCCAGTGGAGGCTATAAGTCAAAATTAGCAAACTGTCCACGCCGGTTCACGGGTCCAGGTTGGATGCCGGCTTGGCGCAGCCTCTGGGAAGCAGACGGTCTACGTCACGTGTCAAATTGTTTCCCTAAGAGCGTGGACCGGCACGTCAGCCGGTGACTTTAAGCATATATTAAATGCACATTAATACGTCTATGTATTATACAAATTTTTTATATAAATAAAAAGTTATATTATTATGTATTTAACAGCTAAAATTTTTATTTTAATAATGTATTAATATTTCAATAATTTAAAATTATCATTGATATTAATTTACTTAAAATAATTTTTTTCCTATAATTTTAATAAAATCTAAAAAATACTATGAAAATAAATAAGAATTCTTGCTATACATATAAAATTCTTAATTAAAAATTTAAAAATTATGAAATAGATTTCTTGGAAATAACAAAATAAGATAAATAAAACTTTAATAATTTTTTTAGTAATTTAAAATAGATGGATTCTTATTACATCACATAATTTTTATGCATTTATACATCTAATAAGTAAGTTTTTATATTTATTTATATAGTATTTTGGTTTTAAATATCAAAATTGATATATCATCAAAAGTTTATTTTGATCGGGCACGAATCTCGAGACAAAACTAAATTGAAAGCTTCCAAAATTAAATCTAAGATCGCCCAATCTCTGATTTCAACAAACTTATAGTATGACTAAACGTCTTGGAAAGATGAACCAATGACACTAAAATCACTCAAATACAAGCCCAAATGAACCTAAATCAAGGGTCCAAAATACATTTGGAGAGTTCAAAGCATAATTTGGATTACCAAATAAATTTCAAACGTGACATACTTATTATCAAATTGAGCATCTCGATGAGACGAATCCAACAAGCCCAAGATCGTCAATTTCTGATATCATTAAGACATTCAAATGATCAATAAATATTTCACGATCAAAGGGATCAATATCGGCCATCCAATCAAACAACTTTAATCTTGACTTTAATTCCCACATATTTACAAGTCATATTACACTAAAAAAATTTTAAATAGTCCTCGTTTTTCACATGAGAGAATGAAGAAAGGAGGAAGAAAATGAAAAGAATTTGGGTGCTTATTAGACACAAACCACCATCTGAGTTATTCCAGACCATCGTCGGACTTTCTCCTGTTCGTCGACCACCACCAAAATTTCTCCCGTTTGCCGACCACCATCTCCAGCCAGACTTTCATTTGTTCGCCAACCATAGCCGGAGTTCTTCCTAACCACCGTTGTCAGACTACTGTCTTTTCAACCACCGTCGACTGACTATGATCTTTTTGACCTCTGCTCCCACCTACTTCGGTCCTCCCGACCTCCGTCGACTATGGTCCTACATTGTCTGCTAACTACAGTCCTTTCAATCATTGTTGCATGACTACGATCTTTCTATCTTCCGTCTCCCATCGACAACGGTCTTTCCGATCACCATCACTTGACTATAATGCTTCCGACCACCGTCATCCGACTATATTCCTTTTGACCTATATCATTGGTCGACTATGATTTTATCGCCCAAACGAACCTATCAACATCGACTCTTCCAACACCCACCATATAATGCACTATATATGATGTATATTTGCTACATTGAGACAAAACCTTTCCTCTTAAGGCGGGGCCTCATTTGTAATCAATTACAAACACTAGTAGATTCATGCAAACTAGACTAGGCCCCATAGTTTTTCTCCTTTTAAGGTGTTTCCAAGTAAAAAAATTATAGTGTATCTTATAAACGCTATAACCATACTCTTTTTATCTATTTGCGTGCTATATAATCGTTCAAAATTAAGACGCTAAACTATATCACTTTCTACCGCCACGAATATTCTAGGAGGTAATATATATATATAGTTATAGTTTATTTAAAATAAATTAATATTAATAATATTTTTGATAAAACTTAAAATTTTAATATATAAGATAAATAAATATAAAAAATTAAAAATTAAATATGTAAATTTAATAAAAAAATAATGTAGGAATATTAGTATAAAACTTTATTATGAACAAATTTAGTGCGATGTTGGGGCCCTCGAAACGGGTATAAAGTGGGTGCTTCCGTAAGAGCCTCCTCCTTCCATCTCACCTTTTCCTATTTCTAATCTCTCCCGTTCTTCTTCTCTTCGTCGGAGAGCGGGTGAATGGTAGTCGGGAGATAGGGATTCCAGCCTCCTTTATTCTCTTCGGCATCTAACTTTTTGGGCAATTATTAGGGCTTCGTTGGGCGGTGAGAGGGGGAGAAGGGTGATATGGCGGGCGACAAGGGGCTAAGTCTCGAGGAGATCAAGAACGAGACCGTTGATCTGGTATGGAGCTTGATTGTTTGAGATCCCGCGGTTCTATTTCTTGTTTTTCATCTATTTGATGATTTTAATGGATTGATTTGATTCTTACCTTTCTTATGGTGATTCAAGTTGTGAATGTCTGAACGGGATGAGAGGAGATTCGTTGATTTAGTTGAGTAGATCGCTTATAATTAAAATTAAGATGTTTATGGATCTAAGCTGGGATGTATATCTTAAAAAAAAAAAAAAAAAATCTATGCTGAATTCGATTGTTCATCCTCTTCGTTTTGTTAGAACAAAATTAAGTAATTTTGGCTTGGTGAGATAGTGAGGGAATCATGAAGAGAGGAAAAATAGAGTAGAATTAAAGTTGAATGTAAAGAAAAAATTCTTTGCTTGTGCTGCTGTGAAGTGCGCAGCTTTCCTGGATCTGAAATATCGTTATCTACTATTTCAGGCTGGTCTTCTGACTTTTAGATGAAGAAATTAATGAAATAAGCGACAGTTTTTTTTTTCCTTGCTGGAAACTTTTTTGTCGATGAGCGGAAGATTTCGTCTTTGTCTGGAAATCTCTGCGTTTTTTTTTTGGGGTGGGGAAAAGGATTTTCTGCTCGTCTCTGTGCCTGTGCATAACGGTTTAAGTACTTTGTAGCCGTACACCTCCCTCATCTTCTTCTTTCTGTAGATTATTACAAGGTTAGCGAATGGGCAATATTGTCCTTGCACCCCATTTGGCACCCAGTTTTATTCTCTAACGAGGCCCATCCTACGGTCAAACGCAAGACTTTACCCGTGCCCTACCCGTGATTGATCATCACCTAAAAGTATAGATAACCGAACCGAAAACGTGCCTGATGCTGAAAGATTTAAATTTTTGCGGCCTTCTTTACTGAAAAAGTTGTATTTTGCTTTAACGTACCCATCGTTCTTGTTTACCAGGAGAGGATTCCCGTGGAGGAGGTATTCGAGCAGTTGAAATGTACCAAGGAAGGTCTCACGTCGGACGAGGGAGCCCAAAGGCTCCAGATCTTTGGGCCCAACAAGCTCGAAGAGAAAACGGTCATATTCTGATCTACGTTCGTCAGTTTCGCCTTTGTTGTCTTGGGCTCTACTTTTTCTAAAAAAAACAGATTTTTTTTTGTTTTAAATTTAACAGGAAAGCAAGTTTCTCAAGTTTCTTGGCTTCATGTGGAATCCCCTCTCATGGGTGATGGAGACAGCTGCCATAATAGCCATCGCAGCGAGGGGGAAGAACCCTGACTGGCAGGACTTTATTGGGATTGTCGTCCTTCTCGTTATCAACTCCACCATCTCATTCATCGAAGAGAACAACGCTGGTAACGCAGCCGCCGCTCTCATGGCCCGCCTTGCTCCTAAAACTAAGGTAAAAGGGAGCCAAACTTGTCATTTGTTTTGTCTGTAATGGTGTTTTCTTTTTGGGCCCATAATAATTTCTCCTATGACAGTGGCTTAATTGCTTTTCCTCGACATAGTTGATAATTCATTTATGTTTCTAATGTTTGGAATGTTGCTTCCTTTCTGAGTCCTATTGAAGCGGCACACATTCATTTGATGCTTCATTTTGCTGTTTGTGCTTCGGTTATCTGAAGCTGGTGGTTGAAGTTTTTTTTTTGTGAACCTATTTTCATACATGATGTGCGTAATGATGGCTTAGCTTTAATCATTCATGAATTTTCAATTGTGTGCTTGGCTTTAGATGATTTTGATGCTCATTCTTCCTTTGCAGGTTGATCTTTTTTGTTGCTCTGCCTTGTAGCTGTTAGTCTTTTAGGTTGTCCATGATTGTGATCCATTTGTTATTTATTGGTTTAGGTCCTTAGAGATGGTAGGTGGTCTGAGGAGGATGCTTTCATCCTTGTACCCGGAGATATCATTAGCATCAAGCTTGGAGACATTATCCCAGCTGATGCTCGGCTTCTTGAGGGTGATCCCCTGAAGATTGACCAGTCTGCTCTCACCGGTGAATCTCTTCCTGTGACTAAGAGCCCTGGAGATGAGGTTTTCTCTGGTTCAACCTGCAAACAGGGAGAGATTGAGGCAGTTGTTATTGCCACTGGTGTCCATACATTCTTTGGCAAGGCTGCCCACCTTGTTGATAGTACCAACCAAGTTGGTCACTTCCAGCAGGTTCTTACCGCCATTGGGAATTTCTGCATCTGCTCCATTGCCATTGGCATGCTTGTCGAGATTGTAGTAATGTATCCGATCCAGCATCGTAAATACAGGGATGGGATTGACAATCTGCTTGTTCTCCTGATTGGAGGCATTCCAATTGCCATGCCCACCGTTTTGTCAGTCACCATGGCGATTGGATCTCATCGGTTATCACAGCAAGGTGCAATTACGAAGAGGATGACTGCCATTGAGGAGATGGCAGGCATGGATGTGCTTTGCAGTGATAAGACGGGAACGCTAACTCTTAACAAGCTGAGCATTGATAAGAATCTTATCGAGATTTTTGCAAAGGGATATAGCAAGGAAGATGTTGTTCTATTTGCTGCAAGGGCATCAAGGACAGAAAACCAGGATGCCATTGATGCTGCCATGGTTGGGATGCTTGCAGATCCTAAAGAGGTATAAATATATTTATCGATTGGGACAACACAACCCTTTTGTAACTTTAATGATTGATTGTCTATGGTGCTTCTTGTTTTTCCTTCTCCATAGGCAAGGGCTGGCATCACTGAGGTCCACTTCCTTCCTTTTAACCCTGTTGACAAGAGGACTGCTTTAACTTACATTGATGCTCAAGGGCACTGGCACCGTGTCAGCAAAGGTGCTCCTGAACAGGTAAAAGAAGTATTATTCTTCATGTTATATTAAAGATCTTAACTATGTTGTTATTGTCAAGTGACATTTCTTCTGTCTATGCAATCAGATACTTAGCCTAGCCAATGCCAGGGAAGATGTTAAGAATAAGGTTCACAGTGTGATTGACAAGTATGCTGAACGTGGACTTCGGTCTCTTGCTGTTGCCATCCAGGTTTCAAATTTCAAGTCTTAAGCTACATTCCTACTAGATTTGCTATATCTTCTCTCTTATCACAGTGGTTTTTACTCTTTTTCAGGATGTTCCAGAAGGGAACAAGGAAAGTGCAGGAGGGCCATGGCAATTTGTAGGTCTTTTACCTCTCTTTGACCCCCCTAGGCATGACAGTGCCGAAACCATCCGTAGAGCTCTAAATCTCGGCGTTAATGTTAAAATGATCACTGGTAGGTTGCTCAGCCCATATTTTATCCGTATATCCTGGAAACTTCAGAGCTTTATTTGAATAAGATGTCTTTTTGAAATTATTAGGTGATCAGCTAGCCATTGCTAAGGAGACTGGCCGAAGGCTTGGAATGGGAACTAACATGTATCCTTCCTCAGCATTGCTGGGCCAGAATAGGGATGCGTCAATTGATGCCCTCCCTGTGGATGAATTAATTGAGAAGGCTGACGGTTTTGCTGGAGTGTTTCCAGAGCACAAGTATGAAATTGTGAAGAAGCTGCAGGAGAGAAAGCACATTTGTGGAATGACCGGAGATGGTGTCAATGATGCTCCTGCATTGAAGAAGGCTGATATAGGAATAGCTGTTGCAGATGCAACTGATGCTGCCAGAAGTGCTTCAGATATCGTTCTTACAGAGCCTGGCCTTAGTGTCATCATCAGTGCTGTGCTAACAAGCAGAGCTATCTTCCAGAGAATGAAGAACTACACTGTAATTTTACATACTATTAGTGTTTCTAACTGCTATTCTTCATCAGGTATAATCTTTGGGACTAATTGCAATTTTAATTGATTTTTTGCAGATTTATGCAGTCTCCATCACCATTCGGATTGTGGTATGAGCAAAATAAGAAAAAAAAAGAAAGTAAACATTTATACTTAAGAATTTTAACTGCATTACATCTGACTCTTCTGCTTATGAACCTTTGCAGCTTGGTTTCATGCTTATTGCATTAATTTGGAAATTTGATTTCTCACCTTTCATGGTTTTGATTATTGCAATTCTGAATGATGGTATGCTTACTTGCGCTCATTTGAGCTTCTCGGTGAAAACTCACTTTTAATCAGACATAAATAATACCTGTAATTAATTGTAGGTACTATTATGACAATCTCAAAAGATCGAGTAAAGCCTTCTCCAGTACCTGATAGCTGGAAGCTTAAAGAAATTTTTGCCACTGGAATAGTGCTGGGCAGTTATCTCGCTTTGATGACTGTCATCTTCTTTTGGGCTATGAAAGAAACCGACTTTTTCTCTGTTAGTATCTCTACTCGTTCAATTTTTATTTTCAGATTATATTAAATTTTGAATTAATTTTTTTTATTTGAAGTCTTGACTCATGGATGCTTTTTGTTGTATTGCAGGACAAGTTTGGCGTTCGATCGCTGAGGGGAAGCAATCATGAGATGATGGCTGCACTTTACCTACAAGTGAGCATTGTGAGCCAGGCCCTAATATTTGTGACTCGTTCCCGAAGCTGGTTCTTTGTTGAACGTCCTGGGCTTCTCTTAATCAGCGCTTTCATCATTGCTCAACTTGTAAGTTCTGCCTAGTGCCCATCCTTTTTATTATAACTTACTAGGAAATTGATAAGCTTATAAGTACGTCCAAACAAGTGCTTCATCAGTAGTATTGCTCCTCCCTCCCCTTCAGGAGAAATTATTCCGTGCGGAGTCCGGATGGTAAAGGACTGTCCGGATGTGAGTGTACATAGTGTGTACACTGAGTAATTTTTTATACACATTGATTTTTTCTTACACAATGTGTACAAATACACACTCACATATGTACGGCTATTTATTGTCCGGATATTGCACAGAATAATTTCTCCCCCTTCAGAAACGAGAATCTGCTAGGAATTTTGTATTCTTGTATAAAGTTTGAACTTGCAGATGCACGATATCATTATAATGACCAGTGGATACCAAAAAATACATGTTTACAAAGTGTACGTGTAGTACTTCGTGGCAATATATGAGTGCATATGCTATTGACACTGAAAAAGATAAGATAATGCGGAGGACAGGTTAACCGATTTGAAATGCCAGAGAGCTGTTATGGATGCAAATTCCAAGTCGAATCCCACCTCCTGAACTTCCCATTTCCTTTGCTGAATAATGAGATGCTTTCTAAGATTCCTTCTTCAATCATTCACTCCCTTGTTTCTACCTCAATGGGGTGGTGGACCCTGCCCAGTTGTTGCCATCACTAGTGGAAAACTATATGCCTTATATTCTCCCACTTGCTTGTATATTATTGCAACGTGGAGGCATACTTTGCGAGATAGATAAAAGAAAAAGTGAAAAAAATATAAAATAGAAAAGAAGATTAGCATATAAGAATATTATACATGTTTTTAATCAATTGATGATTACATCTAATTACTTTGCCTAAATATTTCGCCATGATTGATTGTAGAAAAAATATAGCTAATTTCTTTCTATTATATGATATGTCTCCCTCTTCTTTATACAGAAAAAATTCAGTGCAGTTGAAATTGCATTAAAGTAGTGTCCTCAATGAAATAATCGTTAATATTAGATGCCTTGTGGTCCACGATTAAGGCCTCGTTTGGTTGGCCGTAAGTTCTCCGTTTCCGATTTCAATCGGTGAAAAAAATATTATTTTACTGTATGTGTATGCAACTTTTTCAAAATACATTTTGCTACACCTCTGTATTTTCGCCGATCTGAGAAGGAAAAAAATTCTGCTTGTAATACATTCGTTTAAGAATGAAAAAACGCCGGGGAACCAAATGAGCCATAAATCTGCATATCACATTTTTAAGAAAAAACTAATCTCCACAATTTTAACATCATAGACGTGATATGCTCTGTGCTGGTCCACCGTGGATTTCCTCTTATCTTTTTGGAATGGTGGATCTTTCTATTAGAGACACTAAAGTGACAAAAATTATTCTCTCCTTTGGCAGGTTGCAACCTTTATAGCTGTCTTCGCCAACTGGGAATTTGCAAAAATTAAAGGTTGTGGCTGGGGCTGGGCTGGAGTTATCTGGCTCTACAGTGTAGTCTTCTTTCTTCCTCTTGACTTGTTGAAATTCGCCATCCGCTACATTCTCAGTGGAAAGGCATGGGACACCCTCATCGACAGTAGGGTAAGCACTCCTTCCTTAGTTCTCCTGCCAACTTTACCGTTAAAAGTCACCAGATGTTTGATTAAATGCTTTGGCTGCCATAGACTGCGTTCACTTCCAAGAAGGATTATGGTAGAGAAGAAAGGGAGGCGCAATGGGCGATGGCGCAGAGAACCCTCCATGGCCTGCAGCCTCCTGAGACTAACACCCTCTTCACTGACAAGAGCAGCTACCGCGAGCTATCGGAGATTGCCGAGCAGGCCAAACGCCGTGCTGAAGTTGCAAGGTAAGTGTTAGACTTGGCTGATTTATCACCACTGGTAATAACTAACTAGAAACGTTACATTATTGTTCTTAACATCTTTCATGATCAATTAATTTCAGGCTCCGTGAGCTGAATACATTGAAGGGACATGTAGAGTCAGTTGTGAAGCTGAAGGGTCTCGACATTGATACCATTCAGCAACATTACACAGTCTGATCTGCGGGACCACAGATAGAAGGAATGCTTCTCGCTTTGTATTCTATGGCCGCTTGGGTTTTGCGCCAAATTATCTAATGAACTCTTTTTTTTTTTTTTTTTTTTTTTGAGTTTTTTTTTCCTTATATCAAACTAGTTCTACCTACTTTTTTCCTTAATATGCTCTTATATAGTATTTCTTTATTATTGTTAGAGCTATGAAGAGCATATGATATATTTCTTTTTTTTTTATTTAGCCCATTTGGGAGAATGGAAATGTAATCCTTCCAATAATTCAAAACCCAGATATTCTTGCCCTCATTCTGTGTGTTGTTTTCTACCAACTTTGGATGGTTAATTCAATTCATAAGGTTCAACTTTGTTGCTTCCTTTTTGCATGTCTTTGGGTATCTCCTTGGGTTCACCCAAATAAGCAACAAAATAAGCAACAAGCTTCCCTTCAAGTGTTCCTAAAAAATGATCAAACTATAGCCACCCATTTCACTCACATGCACATGCATGCCACTTGTGTATGTCCTCACAATTGGAGATGCATATTTATGCAAAGCATAGGGTATGTTTGAGGCAACTTTCTAATATTCTACTTTTTAGATTGTAATTATATTTGTATTTGGCCACTACTTTCTGGCTGCTTTTTTGTTGCTTTACATAAATATTTGTAGTGGAAAGTTGATTTTTACATTCAAAGTTGCTTTTTTACAGTCAAAGTTGCTAATGTGTGATAGCTTTAAAAGAAAAACAGAGTATCCTCCCTCTTTTATAATTATCAATTAACTTTGGGCTAATCTAATCTAATCCACTATCGTGGCTAGATTTCTCATATATGAAAGTGCACCAATACACAACATGTTGGCCTTGAGCAAGCCAATTGTCTCTCATTCTATTATGGGTTTTTTTAATATCATTTTAATTATTGGGGAAGCATGAGAAATCTCATTGGTGTGCCCTTATACTCTAGTAGGAATGCAAATTAACTAAGTGTTCGACGAGTTCTAAGTCATGAATCTAGGAGCACCATCGCTAGTAAACCCTCACTGTCTGACAGCTGACATCAGAATTTCACCAACCGACCGTTGTCAGATGTCCTTTGCCTGGCCTCCTAACTGTCATTGTCGGGCATCCGCCTAGCCTCTGTCGCCCTCCGACTATGATATTTCCAACACGAGTCACCCGACTATGGTCCCACCGACTACGACCATTCCAACTTGCATCACCCACTGACTGCGATCTCTCTTACCATTGTTGCCCGACTTCAATCCCTTTGACCACAATCACCCACCAACTACGGTCCTTATAACCTAAGTCATCCGCCTATTGTCCCTTGACCTCTCGACCTCTAACTATAGTACTTAGACCACCATCATCTAACTCCAATCATTTTAACCTACATCACTATCCACAATCCTTCTAACCTTCATCACACGTCGACTACATGCCTTCAGACCACCATCGCATGACTATAGCCCCCCCACGACCTCCATCACTTAACTATGGTCCCCCCAACTTTCGTCACTCGACTATTATAACCCCACAAACTAATATCCTTTTGATTTCTTTCATCGACAGACCACAACCTCTTTGACTACTATCAATTGACTGCAGTCCCTCCAAACACTGTTGCCTTGCTATAGTCAATTGATCTAAGTCACCCGATTATGGTCCCACCTACCTCCGTCGCTCGTTGACTACCATCCTTCTGACCTTCATCGCTTGTTGACTATGGTCCCTTTAACCATAGTCACCCAACTACGACCCCTTTGACCACAGTCCCCCATTGATTATAGTCCTCATACTACCGCTGCTCGTCGACTATAGTCCACATATATGAAACCTTAAGGATTAGAGTACTATTTAGATCGGGTTAACCTGACCAAGAGTTGGGTAAATTGATAAAATTTTAGCATTTGAACCCATTTGCACATGTTTGGAAGTATTTCGGTGTGTGAAAAATGTTTGCATGTATTTTGTAATGAGTACAAGGGGTTTGAAATGCTTCTTGGCAAAAAAACTAAAATTTTACTATTTTAGTGCCACAATGTTGGGTGTCTGAGTGTTGCGGCGTTGCGCTACACCAATGTACCAAATAGTGACATTTTAATGTTCTAATATCTAGAATTTTAAGTTTTGAAGTAGCGTTTAACAGCTCATATGAGATTGTTAAATCTTGTTGAACTGCCTAAGACACCCTAAGAAGGGGGGGCGTGGGGTGGGGTGTGAATTGGTGTTTTAAAAAATTCTTTGAAAAAAATTTAACCAAATACACAAGTGGAAGCAAACAACAAGCAACCAAATAAAGTTATATTTTTTATTTTGTAGAAAAACGAAAATAAAGATATTTTTGTTCTTATATATATATATATATATAACTTTTTCTAGCTTACAAAAATCAATCCAAAGCAATCACAATTCTTTCAACCCAAATTTTGAAGAATATAATATATAAGAAATTAAAAATATAAAAAATAAAAGTGCTAAATAAAAAAGAACGAGTAGACTAGAAATTTTATTGTGTTCGATCAAAACTTGTCATACTTTCACTCCATGTAGTGATCCTCTCCAAGCATTAGACTAATCATTTAGTGGCTCTACTTTAGCTTTCACAACAAGGCAGATAAGCCCTTATAAAATCCATTCTACCCTTCCACAGTGCGGTAGAGAATCCAAAATCTTTTTCACCCTCATGGTGAGGTAGAGAACCTGAATCAATTTTGTAGGCTTAGCTTTTATTTTGTTATATTAGCTATTTCCAAGCATTGTGATAGATACTTCAGATTGTACATATATTTTTGGATGATATATAGAAGTAATTGTCGAGATTCAGTAATCTTCTTCTTTATATTTCATTCAGTAATAACTATGTGTAGCATATAAATTAGAAGTTTTATTTCAATACTTCTCCAATTGAATCTTTGGGTCACCACAATCGGACAAGTTTAACCTGTGTGACATCGGGTTATTATCGGATCGTGTTGTGACATTAAACCACCACTACCTTACTACGATTTTTCTGACCTCCATCACTTGCCGACTATGGCACCCCTAACCACCATCGCCCGACTACAGTCTTGTTGACCATCGTCGCCCGACTACGGTCTTACTAACAACTGTCACCCTACTATAGTCTTTTTGACCATTGTCGCCCGACTTCGATCCCTCCGACCTCATTTGCCAGCTAACTACGATTCTATTGACCAAACGGATAGGCAATATTCTCTTGAGAACATATCTCATATAACTAAATTCTTCCAACTCTAACCATGAAATATGTTCTATATGATATATTTGTTATATTGTGCCAATGCCTATCCGAAGGAAGGGCAATCGTTTATAATCAACGACAAATACTAGTGGAATCATTTCTATCTCTTTACCGATGCGAATGCGAATGTTCTGGCAAGCAATAGTTCTTTTATCATTTATATTATCTCACACCATTCCTACCACTACTAATCTTATTCTAGAACCTATGAAATTCCAAATTTTTATTTCCCACATGCTCGTATTCCTTGCCATCGAGGATCATAGATTTTGGAACCACAAGTTACTCATTTTTCTTTTTTAATTTTTGAAATTGTTTTTATTTGTATGTAAATATGTTTCAATATTTTTATTTAAATGCCTATATCTTTAATATAGTATCAAAATTTTGAACCAATTAAAATCTTATACTATACCCTCAAATGACAATTAAAAGCTTAATGACATCCTGGAGTATTCGTGGCGGTAGAGAAATATAAATTTAACGTCTTAACTTTGTATGAAAATCCGGCACATAAACATATAAGAGAGAGGCTGTAGTATTTATGAGATACCAAGATTTTTATATGGAAAATCCTTAAAAAAGGCGGGAAAACCACGGGGCCTAGCACAGTTGAATGAATCCACTACTATTTGCAGTCGATTATAAATGAGGCCCTACCTTAGGGGAAGGCCTTGGCTTGATGCACATTATAAGAAATACATGGTGAGAATACAAAGAGTCATTGTTGACATGTTCGTTTGGTTGGAAGGACCGTAGTCGATAGACGACGTAAGTCGGAAGGATCGTAGTCGGCGAGAGATGGAGGTCGGTAGGACTATTGTCTGACGACGAAGGTCAGAAGGAATGCGTTAGGTAGAAACCTAGCGACGAGCGGAGGTCCGACGTCGAGTGGAAGTCCAACGTCAATCAGCAGACAGGGAGAACTTCAGTGTTAGATGGTTTTCGGGAAAAACTCCAGAGTCACTTGTAGATCAGACAGAATTCATACATCACTTGGAGATCGGGCGGAGTTTCAGCGTCACTAGGAAGTCGGGCGGAACTTCGGCGTCACTTGAAAGTTAGGCGGAACTCCGACGTCATTTGGAAGTTGGACCTAACTCCGACATCATTTGACGGGCGAAACTCCAACGTCACTTGAAAGTCGGACGGAACTCCGACGTCACTTGAACGTCGGGCGGTGCTCCGACGGTGGTCGAGGAGTTTCTTCCCTCCTCTTCTTCTCTTATATTCTTCTTCTTCTTCTTGCTTGGGTTTTTGGTCCCCTCTTAAGAGAAATGAAGAGCTATTTATAATTTTCTGAGAGTGGCATGACCCATAAATAGGAGGATCAAGGGCAAATGGAGAGTGGATTTGATAGACAGCCGATATTGAATCCCTTGATCGTGGACCGTTCGTCAGACATTTGAAGTTCTTAATGATATCGACATTCAGCGATCTTAGGCTCATTGGATTTGTCTCGTCAAGCTGCTCGATTCGACTATAAGCATGTCATATTTGGAAACCGTTTGGTAATCAAAATTGTGGTTTGAACCTTCCAATAGCGCTTCGGGTCTTTGATTCGGACCCCTTTGGCTCGGATTGAGTTGAATTTGGTGTCGTTGGGTTCATATTTCTGAGACGATCAGTTCGACTGTAAGTTTGTTAAAATTGGGGCTAGTTATAAACATTCACTATTATTGGAGGTTGCTTGGTCTATCAATTAATATTCAGAAGTTTTCATACATAATTCAAGTACTTGCCTTAAACTCATTTGGACTCATATCAGATTATTTGTATCAACGATAGGTTTATCTTGTTGAGACATTCAATTCAATTATAAGTTGCTAGAATTAGAATTCGGATGATCCTCAATTAATTCCAGAAGTTTTCAATTCAAATATTACCTCAAGATTTGTGTTATATATATATATATATATATTATATAATATTCTTACAAAATAAAAATTCATTAATTTAAGAAAAATAACATTTTTCCTAATTATTGCAGCTTAAATCTTTTTATATTGCTACGCCTACTGCCAACAATGAGCAGCCACCA